CTCTCTCTCTCTCTCTCTCTCTCTCTCTCTCTCTCTCTCTCTCTCTCTCTCTCTCTCTCTCTCTCTCTCTCTCTCTCTCTCTCTCTCTCTCTCTCTCTCTCTCTCTCTCTCTCTCTCTCTCTCTCTCTCACCTCCTCCTCTCGTCGCTGCCTTAAATCAACCCCACCAACCAACAGAACTCGTGCTGCCCTGTTTTGGGCGTCTTCACGCTTCTCTGTGCGCTGCTGCACATCTTGTGTTATCATCGTTTGTTGCTGTTGTTGTTGTTGTTGTTGTTGTTGTTGTTGTTGTTGTGTGGTTGTTTTGGTCTGTGGCGCCTGTACTGTTTTGGTTTTTTGTGTGCTACTCCTTTCCCTTCCCCTCCCCTCTCCTCTCTTATGTTGTTGGCACAAGCACCACCACCACCACCACCCTCTGCTTCCTGGCTCACCCTTGTTGTTTTGACTCGTGTGTGAATGGGTCACATGCGCATGTCTGTGGAATGGTGAGACCTTCGCGCCAGTTTGAGGACACGCACGTGTTGTTCCCCCATGCATTCCTTGCTCGCTTGCTTGCCCGCCTTCCTTCCGTGTGTTTGCTGACTGGGTGCTTGTTATTGTCTCGTGTTGAGTCTCGTTTTGTTTGTTGGCTTTCGTCAGTGGTGCCACTCTTGTTGTTGCTTCTTCTCACCACCTCAGTTGCGCCTCATGTCCTGCATATCATTCCGTTCCTTCTTGTGTTCTTGTCGCTTTTTGTACGCCATCCCCACGATGCTTTGTGTGTGGCATTGTGTGATGAACATGAACCACGCCAGAAAAGCGGAAGGAGAAGGAAAAGTTGTTGAACGGTGTCGTTTACTCAAGTTGGAGCTGTTCATGATGATGGCGATGTGGAGCCCGATGAAATGAACTGGCCTTGCTTGCTTGCTTGTCCGAACCATAACACAACACACACGCGCGCACAAGAGAGGGACTGATCAAAGTCGGGCAATACACAAGAACAACGGAGGAAGAAGGATCCACACGGATCCCGCCATTGAAAGACCAAGGTGCCAAGATGGAAAACCGCATCCACCCTCCACCACTTATGTTATTTCAAACACCCAAAGAGCTGGAAGAACAAGAAGAAGAAAGAGAACCAGGTATTAAGATACATCAACCAACCAAAGAACGGCCACCTTGTGGCACATGCCTACGTCACGCTCACCGCCACCATCATCACACTCATCACCGCCACGGATTACAGCTCCTCCCTCCACCTCGCACGTGGCGCGTGCTTGTCCCTCTCCTTGCTTGCTTGCGTGTGCTCGCCTTGCTTCTGCTTACTTGCTGCCGTCGGACTTTCCCAGGGCGTTGGTGGCGTCGCGCTTCTTGATGTTCGCAAGCAGCGCCTGTCGGAGCGTGCTGCTGCTGATGGAGTGGCCGTACGCGCCGTCCTTCTCGTACATCTCGCCAATGTCAACGGCAAGACCCATGGTGGGCTGCTTGACGTAGTGCTTGTCATAGCACATCTTGCGGCAAATGACATCCACGCTCATGTAGCGCGGCACGTACACGGGCAGGCCCATCTGCTCAAACACGGCGTAGTGCTTGTCGACGACGGCGCGCGTGCACACGCCCAGGATGAACGCCACCTCCGCGGTGATGCACATGCCGACGGCAATGGCCTCGCCGTGCAGCAGGGCGCAGTCCGACTCTGGCATGTGCAGGGAGAGAAACTCGACGGCGTGGCCGATGGCGTGGCCGTACTGCGGCAGCATCTCGTTGTAGTCGTTGGCAGTGTCACCGGAGAGGGTGGGCACCTTGTGGGCGATGGTCATGCGGATGATGTGCTCGAGGTAGGCGACGAGCTGGTCCTTGTCGTCGAGCATGTGGCGGTTCTGCAGCACGTAGTCCAGCATGTCCTGGGACTGCGTGATGGCGTGCTTGATGGACTCGCTGATGCCGTTGAGGAGGTGGCGGCGGCTGAGCGTCTGCAGGAGCTCCGGGTCCAGGATGATGGTGGTGGCTGGGTGATAGGCGCCCAGCAGGTTCTTGCCCTTGTGGTGGTTGACGGCCTGCTTGAAGTCGATGGCTGCGTCCACCTGGCCCATGGTGGTGGTGGAGAAGTGGACCAGGGTGATGCCGCGGTAGAGGGAGGCGGCGATGAAGCCGGCAATGTTGTTGACCACGCCCCCGCCCAGGGAGATGATGGCGCTGCGCTTGTCGATGCCGCGCTCCAGAATCTGGTCCACGCAGTCCGAGAACACCTTGAGGGTCTTGTGGCGCTCGGCAGAGGACTCGCCAGTCTCGTCCAGGGCATCGGCCGGGACGACAATCTTGTGGATGTCCAGGCCGGCGCTGCGCAGCCCGGACAGGATGCGCTCACCAAACAGCTCGTCGACGATTGTGTCGGTGATAATGTAATTGGTGGAGTCGTGGCAAATGGAGGGCATGACTTCCTTTCCGCACTCGGCGAGGCGGCGGGTGATGCCGCGCTCCACGATGATCTCCGACTGCATCAGCTTGACGCGGTGGAAGCAGTTCTCGTAGCGCCTTGGTCCGTGCTGGCCGTTGGGCGCGGTGATGACGCCGGTGGGCAGGGAGAGGTCCCCGTCGTCCTCGGCCTGGCCTGATGAGTTGGAGCGCAGCTCGTCATCATCTTCGCTGCTGGCGCTGCTGGTGGCCGAGTCACATCGCGTTTTGCTGTGTGTGTCAGTGCATGAGCAAGCAATGTTTAGAGAGGTGGGGTGGGTGGTAGGTCAGGGGTGAGTCAGTGATGACACTGGAGAGAAAAACGAAGGGGAAAGAAGAAGGAATAGAAGGGGGGGGGGCATCAAGGCACACGAACTAGCCAAACACACACACACACACACACACACACACACACACACACACACACACACACACACACACACACACACACACACAAGCATGCACAAGCAACCAATCACACACATACACACACACACACAAGCAACCAACCAACCAACCACGCGCACAACATGCATGCGAGCAAGCACGCGAGGCAGCAACTGCGTGCTCACCTGCGAATAAAGGCCTTCTCGTCCTCGAGGGCGCGGAGATGCATGTCCTTGAGTTGACGGTCGGCATCCTTGATTTGGTCCTGATACTGCTCCTGGCGAGTCTGCTCAGTCGTGGCGTCCTCAAACTTGGTCATTGTGGCGGCAGTGACTTGAGGATTTGCCGAGACGTACTTGGCTGCTGCTGTGACTAACTCCTGTGTTGTGACTTGCAAAGCTTGAGTGCTGGTGGTTCCTGCGTGTCGTTTGCTCGTCTCCTTCCTGCTCCTGTTTCTTCTTCTTCTTAGCCTTGTCTTGCTTGCTTGGTCTACCGTGGTGACGTGAGTTGGGACAGGTGGGCGGGGATAAGGTCGGTCTTGTTCTCTTGCTGGTTATGCTTGGTTGGGGCTGAGGCCGAATGCTTGCGCCTGCTTGGGCCTTGTTGGTGTGGTTGCTGTCATGCGAGGTGGATGGTCGAGTTGGAAAATGAAGAAGACATGATGGGCTCTCCATCTCATACATCACCCCCCCCCCATCCGCATGTGTTTCTGGTATTGTCCACAAAAGCAAAGGCACACGGTGGGCTTGTTTCTCTCTGTCTCTCCTGAGTGGGCCAAGCGAACTGAATGTGTGAGTGGGTGTCTCAGTGATCATGGCCAATTCCGCTGCGTTCACACTTTCTGCTGTCCATTCTGTGTTCAGAGCTGCTGGCTGGTTTCTTGCGCCTTCTCTGCTGCTGCTGCTGCTGCTGCTGCTGCTTCGTGCCAGCCACGTTTTCCATTTCTTTCTTCCGCGTTCCCCAAAGGCCGCCCCGTGTGAAACTTAGGCAAAGGCTTGACGGTGATTCGCGAAACCAACCCCATGTCAGCCTAGCGAAGCAACATGCGTGGGGAATTTGCACTGGTGATGCTGCTGGTGGTGATGCTGGTGGTGGTGATGCACCCCCCATCACAAGTTCACGTGGTTCGCAGACATCACACATCACATCACAACCGCCCGCTGCTGGGCAGTGCGCACCGCAACCCACGGCAGGCTGCGGGAAGTTTCTCTGCGCCTCTTCGGTCGACATTTAGGTATTTGTTGTGTCCACCGCCTCTTCTTGGGTTGATTGGTTTGTTTGTTTTTGTTTGCGTTGCCTACCTCTTGGGAGCTGTTTGGGTTTGTTGCGCTTGAACGAAGAAAACGGCCAACATCTTCGGCTGCTTGCGTCTCTTTGGATCTGGATGCTTCCGAGCGAGCGAGCGAGCCACTTGAATGATGTGTGACAAGCCACGTGCTGCTGCTGCTGCATCTTGCTTGCTTGCTTGCTTGCTGGAAACTGGAAACTAAACGCGCGGTGCAGAAGAAACGCTGATGAAAACATTGCAAATCGCACGCTGTTTGAAGAACAGAAATTTAGTGAAAGATGTCTGCAACTCTCCAAATCACACAGTCACGCCAGCCCCGGAACGTTCCGAGCCGCGATGCTGCAATGGATGCGGGTGGTGGGTTGGCTGTGCAGTGCTGCAGTGCTCTTGGGCTGGATGGCTCGAAGAGAGAGCCACTTATGATTGATTGTCCAGTAGCGTATGTCTCCTTGTCCAAGAGCAAAGAGAAAGGAAGAAGGAAGGAGGATGTCGTCTGCTTCTGAAGAGGGAATTCCTTTGGTTGGCTTTGGAACCTTCAACGAGTAAGTCAGGCAAGCAGGCAGTGCGTGAGTGTGAGTTTGTGTGTGAGTGTGAGTGCGTGCGTGCGTGTGTGCGTGCGTGTGTGTGGGAGATAGAGACGAGAGAGAGAGAGAGAGAGTGTGTGTGTGTTGTGTGTGTTGTGTGTGCTGTGTGTGCTGTGTGTGCTGTGTGTGCGTGTGAGCTTGTGCGTGTGTGTGAGCGAGGATATGATGCTTGCTGCTTGGCTTTGGGTTGCACCCAGGCACGCAGGAGCACTTTGATGTCCTCACCCCCGTACCCCCGTACCAGTACCCCCCACCCTTCCAGCCTTGTCCTGACATTCACATCCCTCACCCGACAACGCTACGCGAGTGCCACAGGTTCAAGGACGAGGAGCGCGTGCGGGATGCGGTGAAGCACGCCCTGCGTATTGGGTACCGGCACCTGGACTGCGCTGCGCTGTACGGCAACGAGCAGGTGTGTGTGTGTGTGTGTGTGTGTGTGTGTGTGTGTGTGTGTGTGTGTGTAACTGTGTGACTGTGTGTGTGGGGGGGGGACAGTGAAAGAGTGAAAAGCACAGCAGAGGGTAGCGTGCAGCGGAGGACGAGTTACCACGGTAGTGCTTTGAGTGTTAGATGCATGCATGCACACACACACACACACACACACACACACACACACACACACACACGCACACACACGCACACACTCTCTCTTTCTCTCTCAATCTCACTCTCACACACTCTCTTTCTCTCTCAATCTCACTCTCACACACTCTCTTTCTCTCTCAAAGTCACTCTCACACTCTCTCACACCCTCACTCTCACTCTCACATATGCACACATGTGCAAACACATGCACACATCCAACACTGCAGGCTGTGGGAGAGGCCATCAAGGCGAGCGTGGACGATGGCGCTGTGCGGAGAAACGAGGTGTACGTGGCCAGCAAACTGTGGAACAACCGGCACCGGCCACACCTGGTTGAGGACGCGTGCGCACAGAGCATGGCCGACCTTGGCGTGGACCACCTCGACTGCTACATGATGCACTGGCCGTGCCCTTGGACGCCAGAGTCTGCGCTCGTGAGCAAGGAGCTTGGCGGCAACTTCAAGTACGAACACGACATGGAGGTGAAGCTGGAGGACACGTGGAAGGCCATGGAACAGCTGTACCTGGACAAGAAGGTGCGGCATATCGGCGTGTCCAACTTCAGCATCCGGCAGCTGCAGGAGCTCATGGACGTGGCCAGCATCAAGCCCGCCGTCAACGAGGTGGAGCTGCACCCCTACCACCAGAACACCAACCTGGTCAAGTTCTGCCAGAACAACGGCATCCACGTCACCGCCTACTCGCCGCTGGGCAAGATTGGCTACCGCAACCCGGGCGACCCGTGCCTGATTGACGACCCCGTGCTGCAAGATGTGGCCAAGCGCCACGCCAACAAGACGCCCGCGCAGGTGGCGCTCAAGTGGAACGTACAGCGCGGCGTGGGTGTGATCCCAAAGTCGCTCACACCAAGCAGGATCGAGAGCAACTTCAACCTGGACGACTTTTCGCTCACCGAGCGCGACATGCAGGAGATTGCTAAGCTAAACCGCAACCATCGCTTTGTTCGCCCGCCATGGTGGTCGTTCCCAGACGACAAGCACGAGCTGCCATGAGACTGTTTATTTGTGTGTTTGTGTGTGTGAGTGTGTGTGTGTGTGTGAGTGAGTGCGTGTGCATGCATGCGTGCGTGCGTGCGTGCGTGTGTGTGTGTGTGTGTGTGTGTGTGTGTGTGTGTGTGTGTGTGTGTGTGTGTGTGTGTGTGTGTGCGTGTGTGTGTGTGTGTGTGCGTGTGTGTGTGTGTGTGTGTGAGTGAGTCAGTAGTGAGGGAGTGTTTGTGTGAGTTTTGTCCTCACTTGCGCCCTTTCGTGAATTTCTCCTCCCCTTCCCCCTCTTCTCCTGTGCACTCCTCTTCTGCCTTGTCTTCAGCGCCAAGGATGACTTGCACTCAGTGTGTGTGTCTATGTGTAACCGAACCGAACCAATACACAACGTTGTTTGCAAACGCATCACAGAACGTGCCAGCATGAATGTCGAAAGAGCAGGAACGACATGTGCATGTCGTCACATGCCTTCGTGTCAGCAATACGGATAAACAGCAGTAAGAAGGGGGGGGGGGAAGGGGAGTGTCAATTATGAGGGAGCATGCGCACATCAATGAGAGAGGCACTGGTTCACGACTTGAAGCAGGTTTGGGTTTTCCAACGCCGCCGCAACGCGTTCCTTGTCACTCAACTGCTTGTTCACTGCGTTGCACCGTTCATGTGTGTGCGTGTGTAGTGAATGAGAGAGTGAGAGAGTGAGAGGCGGAGGAACGGAGGAGGGACAAGAGCGCACACAAATATACAAACGAACCAAGACAGGCAGACAGACAGAGAAACAGACAGACACACAGACAGACAGAGAAACAGACAGAGAAACAGACAGACAGACAGACATACACACACAGACAGACAGACAGACAGAAACAGACAGAGAAACAGACACACCACACCACAGCACAGCACATCACATCACAGCACAGCACATACAAGCACCCACACCCACACACACACCACACACACACACGACAGCGTACCTTGGTCACGCGATACGTGTGAGCCAGGGAAGATTTCCACGTCCACTTTGAAGCGACGTGGCAACGAACGAAGCAAGCGCACACGAATGCACAGGCCAATCAGCGTTGCCATGCTGCAATGGGGGATGGTCGGTGTAAATTGCACACGCACAGCGTTGCCGGTGTCGTCCACGTCAATCTGGTCTGTGATTGCATGCGTGCGAGTGTGTGTGTGTGTGTGTGTGGGGAGGGG